CACTACGTAACTATAGTATCTCTTCACTAAACATACCCTTAAGATGAAATATATACAATTACTACGTGAGACTAGCTTTGCTTCTCTAAAAAAGGAGCGATACTTACTAGAAGTAGAGTCTACTACCGAAGAGGAAGTGCTATGTCGAATCATTAGCTGCGAACTGCTTACGAACAGAAAGTGGCTGCGACTGGTAGGCGTGGACTATGACGGCGTCGAACGATATCAGCATGCCCCGTATTTGGGCTAAGGACAGGTTCTTTACCATTACCATCATAGCAATCTTGTCGTTTCCTACCTAAGGAGCAAGATTCAATAAAAATGAGCAGCAATTGTTATTAAAAATCCATTGGCAAAGAGGAGATGGCAATTAGGTGAAAAAAGGCCACTCTACCTACTATAAATACCTGAAATGCGAGCCAAGCGTAGTCCTGTTCTTGAACGGTGTGAATGATTACTAAGACAAGTTTACGTTGATACGACATCCTTGAACTCAAACACAAAAAAAAGCTAAGGAGGTTGTTGAGGACTCTCACATCTTCAGAATCCAACCGACCTCTAATTATTCAACTTGACATCAGGAGGTACGTGATGGCACATCGAAAACATAGTATAAAATGAGAATTATTAGCGTTATTAACAAAACAAGTTGAACGGAAGTTCGTAGAGGAACATCTTCTGACTTCTTCTTTTCTCGCACCTTCTCTCTTTTTTTCTGATCAATAGGGCGATGCAATTGAAGATTTACACTGGTGTCTATAAAAGTGTGTTTATAGCTCAAGGTGAGGCATATAACCTAGACATAATTCTGAAAAACAAAATATGAGATCGATGACCAGTGATTGCTCAGTAATCTAGCGCACACAAACAACCAGCTGCGGCAGAAATTAATGCTGCAAAACGGTTTTCCTTTTTTCTTCTATAAGGCTTTTATCCGAGAATAGCAGATCATAAAAGAGCACAAATATTGTCTTAAGTACAAAATCCAACATTTTACCTTTTCTTTTTTTTTGACTCCTCCTAGAGAATTGAAGACAAGCCAACTACACGGTAAACCAAATTGCGCACAGCTTTTTGGTATTTCATTCTTATCTATCCTGAATTCAGGAACTCGTCCGTTAGGTGAAAAAATGAATACATACTGACATAGTACTACAACACATACTGATTTTAGATTTTCTCAGTACAGTTGTTCAAGAGTTTTGGTAGTTGAAGGAATGCAATTTCTGGAGAGGAAGTGTAGATTAAGCAAAATGGCAAAACATCCTATAAGTGTAAGACTTTTTTTGCACACGAAAAAAA